ATTGAGCAAGGTTGATTTAGAAGGCAGAGAAAGTAAACACATACTGCTGTTTCACAAAGTCACCTTAGAGAGTCTAATCATCTTTTAATTTAGAGCAGTGCCTTTGGAGGGCAGCAGGAAGCACTTTATGGTACAGTAAAGGGTGATACCCTTTCATCAGTGAGTCTGACTCTAAGAATTCAATGAATTAATGTTTTTGTGAAGCCAAGAAATAAAGTAATGAATAAAAATTCCCCATGCCAATGATCCATATTCCTTCCCCTTTCAGGGTAAGGAAGAACGCCTCTAATAGTACAGTTTACTCTCACACACAAGTGTTGTGTTGCCAAATGGAATGAAAGTAGTTTTTTGATGAAATCCTTTCTCTCTCTCTCTTTTTTTTTTTTTTTCCAGAGGTCTTAACTGGTTGGCAAAGGGTAAATCAATGACAAGAAGTTCTTACATACAACTTACATAAATGCACCTAGCATTTAAGCAGTTTATCTGCAATTCTAATGGGTTGTGTTACTGATGAATTACTCCACCTTAAAACTTAGCCTCTGCCAAGATTACAGTGGTGACTTTGGCATGCAGGGTACCAAGGAGACAAGTGCAAATAGGAAATAAAATTCAGATATAGTCAGCTATTGAAAACATTGAACAGAACAGATGCACACCAGAATTCCGAACTATTGCACATTGCAATTGCTGGAGATCTACTAGTTAGACATACACAGGAATTTGCATAGGTGTCATGAAATGGCATATGTCTCTTTCAGAGAAAGCATGGGATTCACAGTTAATTTTTAAAATCTTGCCATTTAGTGTTGTAAAGAGGTAAATTTCCTTTTAGAGTTTCTTTGATATTCTTCAGTTTTGTCCTGCAGACTGTGCTATTTTAATTTTTTATGCTTAAGCACATAAGTTGTACTTTTCAGAGGGAGCACAATTTGAGTTTCCTCTTTCTCAGAGAACCAGTTCTGAATGCTCTCATGGAGCCTCTACTCAATACATTCTAAACTTGGATCCTTTTTAAGGCATATGCCCTTTCCAACTTGCCATGTTTCCCATTTCTGATAATAAGGAAAATCAGTTCTGCCTGCGCTTCACTCCTTCTCCCCAGATTCTCAGCAGATCTCTGAGACAGGTAATGATTTTTTATCTTCTTTTTACCTGCTCTGGAAAACTCTTTTCTTGAAGCTTCCTTGAATGCTTTGCCCAAGAGAAGCCACAGGAGTTCAAGTGCTGTGTTTCTCTTTCAGTGACAGTAGACTCATTACTTGTGATAGTTGTACACCACTGGCTATGGTGCATTACTTGCAGATATGCTACTTATGATAGTTGTACAATGGCAAAAGGTCACCATCATGCCCTAATACTCTTTTCCTTTTCATACTTACCATATTCCCTGTGACCTAAAGCTGAATTTATAACAATGAACATCATTATTGCGATGTAAGTTTAGAACTTAGTAGCGTGGTTTAGTGGTGGACTTCAGTGCTAGGTTAAAGGTTGGACTAGATGATCTTAGAGGCCGTTTCCAACCTGGGTGATTCTATCATTCTATTTACTTCTCAGCTCACCGTTTGAGTCACTTCAAGTATCACTGCTGGACATTCTTCTAGAAATTGTGCCTTTTGCTCTTCATCCTATTTGCTCTGCGGTCCTGACTGGGATGATACCAGCAGAGATGCTCCCTTGGCACAGGTGCAAAGGTTTTTCAAGAGTGCTCTTAATCTCCAAGTTTTTATCTTGTTCCTTCATCCTGCAGTACATTTATTTTCACTGTAGGGTAATAGGACAGGTTTCTGAGCACACTGTTTGGTGCAGCTAGCATTGCATGTTCCTTTGTTTAGCCCAACATGAAGGCCTCCTAGATGTGAGCACGTGCCATTGTCAGAACCAAGAATGTAGGGCTGATCCTCATAAAGTTTATGGGGTAGTGTGTTGGCCCCTTAGTGTGCTGGAAAATCCCAGCAACATTAAAGCACTTTTCCTCTGATCTCTAATTTGAGAAATACCTGAAAGTCTTTGAATTTTGTATGATTGATCTTTTCATTAGCCCTAATTTTCTTTTCATTACATTGGTCAGAGAATCTATCTTCATTCGAGAAATGTCTCCACAGTACCGTTGCTTTGTGTGAATATGCAGCAGTGCATGTTGGTGGAGTGCTGTACAATATCTACATTCTGTATATGGATTATGAAGAATCGTACTGTTGTACTGTGCCATCATAGAGGCTTGAATGGCTAGCATTATTGATTGCATATTGTAAAGATTTATATTTAAAAACACTCAGTGAAGGAAATAGTGTAGTTGATGATGTGTAGTAGGAAAATCTACCTTCTGTCCTTTTTCAAGAGGACAGTAGGGGTCATTTTGTAAAGCACATGTAACTCACAGTGACTTCATCTGGAATTGTAAATGCTCAGCACTTTGTAGTAATCAGCCCCATGTCTCCTGATAAAATTATGCCCTTGTGGCTTTCCTCATCTCAATTTTTCCATAACTAATATAATCCAAACTATATTATCCTATTAGGAGAGTCTTTTTCTCCAACAAGCAGCATGCAGCTGTCTATTTACCAGGAAGAGCAGTAACTGTTCTGCCTTTGTTTGTTTCAGCGTTAAGGGAGATAATTCAGGCTGTACATGGAGCTAGTTCAGTTAAAATAAGTACATTAATTCCTGAATGGAGACCTGCTTTATGCTTTTATTCCTTCATTATTCATTTTACTTATTTTGGCTATCTCTGCAGTGGATGGGGAGAGAGAAGCTCCTTCAGAGCACAGTTAGGGCACCTATCCCAGGTCTCTGTTTGGAGTAAACTCTTCACCAGCTAGGGGACATAGCCTTGGAGCTCTGCAGATGCCTGTGTCCACTTAGGGTCATAAGCTGGTTGGCTTTTTAGGGTCAGGAGAAGGATGAAGTTTCTCTATAGGGGAACTACTATTATATAAAAAGTGCTTCTACATTATAATTAATGAATTTCCAGTCAGGCATAATGTAGAGTTTGAGCTGATGGGAACTCTGGTCACAAGTAGATATAAATGCAGATACATTGTCAAAATTTTGGGTTATCCCACACTCTTCTGAACAAGAAGTAAGGAGCGTGTTGCAACAAAATATCTTCCTTTCCCACCTCCATGATTAAGTTCTTTCTGTTACTTCAGAGCCAGGTGGCTTGAAGCATTCTGTACTATTTCTGTCTGTATTATGTGGAGTTAAAATTGCAAAGAGAAGTGACCTTTAGGAAGTCAGAATTCAGCCAATTGAAAATTTGGAAAGGCAAAAGTGTTATTCTTAGCAGTAGAAGCTCTGTAAGATTGATGTGCAACACAGAGCAAAAGGTATTCAGGTTTTCACAGGAGGGCTGTGAAAACAAGCCTTTTGCAGGTGTCTGAATAGCTGGGGAAGTACTCCTTAGATGACCCTTCTTTTTTTGTGGTGCATATGTCTGTGTTAATATCAATCCCTGTTTGTGGAGCTGAAACTTTTCACGTATCCGTTTGTGCCACCTACAAAATGCTGCTTGTGTGTCATGTTTGCAGAGACATATGGTATTCTGAGTGGAGACAGAATCTTCAAAAGACTGGGGGAAAAAGGTTCAGCCTTCAACACAAACTGCCCTTCTTTTGTTATCTTCTTTACCCTTCCATATTTATTTAAGCTTAATAGAGAGTCAGGTTGATGGACATGAAGAAAAGGCAATTGTAACAGCTGTGAATCTCTCTAAAAAATGTTATTGCTATGAACTCATGGTAGGTGGCAGATACCGCCTTGGCACAGGACAGTTCGTATTTATTTTCTCTGCCTGGTACTCATCAGTGCAAAGGAAAACCAATTACAGCAGAGGTCCTCTGCATTCCTGTCTATCAGAGAGAGTGATGGCAGATAACCCATAATAAAGTGCCTCTTGCATAATGAAATAGCTATGGTGAGAATCCCTTCATTATACACGTGCCTAGTCTGTGGCACCTTTGTGAAGTGACTCCCCTGTTCAAGTGCTCCTGGTGCAACAGCATAGGTGTGAATGCTGAAGCAACAGAGCTTCCATGTCATGTTGCTCACTTGCTCTCCCTGTTACCATCTGTGCTAATGCAACTGAAGCTAGAACAACTGTGTAACTCTAGATGAAGAGAAAAACCACTGTGCTAGTTTAAAGGAGTGAGTGCCCCTGGTGATAGCTGCCTTTTGGTGCTGAAACAGGCCATAACGTACATGATTGCTCCCACACAGTCTCCGGTGTGAGAGGAAGGGACCAGAGAGTGGTAAGTACATGGAGAAGTAAACTTAAAGCTCCTCCTGCTGTCATTGATGTGGGGGTCTTGTGTTACTCTTCAGCAGGCACTCTAGTGGCAGGTTGATGGATGAATCTTGCCAAGCAACAGCATCGTTCAATAAGCTCATATTTTTTCTGTGTTTCTTCCTCATCGTTTTGTGTAAAATAGTTAAGCAGTCCTGATCTTTGGGCTTAGGATGTTTCTGTAAAACAAAGAAGGGCCTATGTTGCTCATATAACCCTATGAATGAGGAAGCAAAGTCCCGTGCTGAAAGATGTCTGCCTGCACTGTCCATCTGTTCTCCATCTCTGGAGAAAACAATGTAGAGGTAAAGATGGTGCAGGACTCAAAGAACTTTGAAACATGCTTTGCCTATTTTACTTTGCAAATTGTTCACATAACTCTTTAAATACATTCTTAAAAACCATTTGAAGCATGGATGGCATTTGAGTTTGTTATGTATATAACTTATACATATTTCAGCTGCAGACCGTAGCCAACATTGCTTGGATTACTTGTAAGTTGTCAAGGACCAGGTTTTTCAAAGATCACAGTCCCATCAAGAAAGGCTAGGACTTGAAATGCAGAAATATTTTTTTTCATGCTTGCTAAAATCACAAGATGGCCATTGTCTTGTGAGTTGGGCACCTGGTGTTGAGGATTATCACCTGAAAATCTGTTCCTGCGCATACTCCTGAGAAGTGGTCTTGAATTCACGTGGCTTTGTTTTTCTCACAGGTCAGTGTCCTAACATTGGAAGACTACCTTGGATTTTACCTGTTATATCGCCAAAATAACTGACTTGACCTGATTTTACAAGCCAGATTTGTGTGTCTGCAACATACTTTAGGTGACTTTCTAGGTAAGTGTACTTTTGGGTTGAAAGTCTTCAGGGGAAAGTTCAAATAAACTGTGTGGTTCATGAATTGTTTTTCTAGACCGCTGTTGTTGTTTTTAATAAGATCCATCTGCCTCAAATTTACTTCTGTATAGAGTATAGCAAAAGCATGTGCACCACCACTGGAAGTTTAAAACTATAGCTAATGAGAGCCACATAAAAACTTGTGCATCAGCTCCTGAACTGAAAATTTCACCTTCAGAGTACAGGATCAAAAGCGCAATAGAAATCATTGCTCTGATGTCTCTATTGAGCAGACAGTATCATTATTACATTTTTTCTAAGTGCTATTTCTCTCTAGTGTGCATTACCATTAAAACTTCCAGTACTAAAATCTACATTACTTTCCTTTTGAAATGAGGGTTCATTCAGTGCCTTCCCTGGTTGCTTGAACTATGAATGATTAGCTCTGCATGAGGCACTTTGTAACCCTCCCTGTGGAGGAAGCCATATGAAAATAAATGTTACCTTCAGGTATATTTTGCATGCTGTAGCTGTGTGTAATTACTGAGCCTGGGATTCACCATTCTGCTGACCCAGAATTCCCCAGTGTGCTTTGTGCAGGTTGTGTGGCAGTTTAAACAAATGTAGTTGCAAAGGATTACAGAGATTAGTTGTTATTTCTATTATGTAAGATAGAAGAACAGGCAACTATTATCTAATACATTCAATGTTATTAAAGTATGTCCTTCTTTGGAGAGCCACCGCTTTGAGGGTCTGGCCTTACAAAGTCATTAACGGATCATTTTCTGATTATGGTCTATGGATCCCTGGAGGTTTATCATTTGCTGAGATCTGAGAAAGGTAATTAAGAAAGGCATGGATACTATTAGTATGTTAACACTGGGAGGTCTGAAGGAAAATACTTATGGGTCTGTAAAAAAAAAAAAAAAAAAAAAAAGGAAAAAAAAAAAAAGCTGAAAGCCACTGAATTTAGAGCTTCTAGCTGATACATGGGGATACCCTGCATTTTTTCAGACCTTTCTAGTAGGAGGTGTTTAATCTGCCTCAGCAGATTTCAAATTCTGTAATCCCATCATAATTTAGAGGCACTCTGAATGCATGTGTGCATTCCCTGGGTGTGGAGGTGAAAACAGCATGGCTGTGGTTGCTAACCTCTTGAGCTACCTCACAAAATTCATGCTAGTGAATGGTAGAAATGGTCTGGACCTGTGCAAGCCAACATCAAAATCAACATCTGTCTGGGATCTTGTTGTGGCCTGGGAAAGTCATAGATGAAACTACAGGACAGATAGGAACCATCTGTTCCCAGGTTTTAAAAAGACACCCTTTCCCTCTTCCCCATAAATTTAAACTCTCTTTTGTTCAAGTGAGGCGGAGGAGTTTGGATAGCCCCAGAGGGTTTTTTTACTGTTGCAGCTGAACACTTCTCAGCTTTGTCCTCTTTGTATTTGCTGTTCTGCATAGGGCAAATTTACCAAGAAGCTCAGCTGAGGCTCAGAGAAGATCCTCTGACTTGGAAAATGCCTCTGAATAAATTATCCACTGTGAAAGAATGATACATTTTCTACCTAAGAGCCAAAAATGTGAAACAGTAAAAGATGTTCTTAGAATAGTTCCTGAGAACCTGGGCTCCCTGGAGGAAAATGAAGCTTCTGGAGGGTGATTCAGACAACCCATTTCAGGAACCTGCCTCTCTTTAGTGACTGTATGTGGAAGGCAGGTATCAAAGTGGGATTTAACTGCCCCATTAAGTAAAGTTAAATGGTGTGAATGCCCTTGGTCAGCAGCTTTCAGGGGGCTGAGCAGTGCAGGTAGAGCGTGGCAGCTGTGCCTTGGGTTGGGGACTGCATGGACACAGCAGCCTGGGCCATAGTAGATGCACAGATGCATGCAAATCCGGAGGGGAAACTAGAGTTTCCCATTGTAGGCTTTCTGACCAGCAGTTAAATGGATAGCTATTTACATTCTTTAATTTTAGTCACTTTCGGATGATTATAGTCTCTTCTCATTCCCTGTCCTTTGGTGTATCTTTCTTGAGAGCAAGGGCACTCTCCAGCTCTCATATAAACTCTACACTTTCTGCTGCATAGGCAACGTAAAAGGGCTCACATATTTCATTTTCTTTTGCTACAACATACATGTAGCTGGGTTCAAACTTGTTTCTCTGTTGATTTTTTAAATTATTTTTTTCTTTTCAGAACTCAATAAATGTTCTGAGGAATACAAGCACTTGTAGACACTTGGTGAAATTCCTAATGTTTTTATATAGAAAACAAGTTTAAGTGTTCACAGGAGCATCTTTAGCCACTGCAGCCCACAGATTCGTGGATTCTTGACATATCCCTACAAATGAGCAGTAATTTTTAGAGACAATGCAAAGCCATTGATTCTGAAAAACATAAATTAAGGTACTGAAAACAAGGTCTCTATTTGGGGCTGATTAGAAGTCTGCCTCGCGGAAGGCTGACTATTGCCAATCCTTATGGGACTGAGGGACTTAAACATGTCACTGAAATATGTACTGCAAGTTCCTTCATGATAAAGTCTCAGATAAATAGGAAATACCTCAAACATGCATCTTGGGAAAGCCAAACAAATTTCAGATGGAAATGAATGGAAATTAATTCAGGGTGTAGACTTAAACCCAGCCTCTAGGGACACAGTAATTGTGCCTTTTAGAAAATGGTCTCCTGCTCTTTGCATTTTAACTATCTATAATTACTTTTGTGGTTTGTTGGTTGTTGAGGAGCTTGACAAGCTGGGAATTGGCAGATTCAGTGTTGCCTTTATTTACAGTGCTTTTGCCAAGTCATTAAGTCAGCGATAGGAGGCTTTATTCTGACAAAACTAATCCCTCAGTGTGGCCAGACACCACATATTCCATTTAACTTTGTGCCACTGCATAAGACTGTTTTAGCCAAAATTTAGGTTGGCAGGAATTGTCAGAACACCACCAAAATTAGTATAGATAAGCCATTTTTTTATTCCATCCCTGTCCTGTGTTTTTTACTTTTTTTTTTTTTTCTTTTTTCTTGTGACAAGCTGTGCAAAGCTGATTTTCACTAGGGCATCCTGTAGATCTAGCTGATAGATCTAGATCCAGTGAGGTTATTCTTATACTGCCAAAGGGACAGGGGAAAGACAGACACTCCTGCGGGGACATGGAAAATGCCAGGTAGCCCCAAGCGCTTTCGGAGGTTGTTGGATTTACTTGATTCATAAACAGAACAATATTGCCTGCTGCACAATGAGTTCTCTTTGCTTGGGTTTGCCAGTACTGTCCAGCTCTCCCAGTAGCTGTCTTTAAACGGGGATGAAGAGCTAGTGCGTAATGCAGTTGTGCTACCAACGTCAAGAATTGTTGAATAACCATCGTGGGGCATAGTCCAGAGATGTGCTGCGTGAAAAGCTCAGGGACACTGTGACATTGTGTGGTTCAACTACTAATTGTTATTATTCTTTCTTAAAATATCAGGGCATGTTTCTATCATCATTCTGCAGATTTTACTGTCCTTGTACGATTTGGCCCCGACCTCATCAGAATAATATTTGAATCAGAAATGAGCAAATATCTAACATCTTTACACTGAAATTTTCCCAGTTTTATTAACTGTGGGTGTATTGAAAACTGACATTAGCAGGGACTCTGGCACCAGCAGTCTTAAAGTGGTTTCTGGGGAGGAAGGGGGCAGGTGTGGAGTTGTTCCGATAAACTTAATGTTATAAGATCAAGCAATTTATAAATTGCCATGGCATACAAATTCTTATGACTTGACTATTTCACAGTGAAAGTTAACAACTGAAAAAAGTAATTTCAGGTTTAACTCTTCCAGAGAGAGCGGAATTCTGTGTGGAATATGTTCGACTTAAATTGTCATGACTGTTGTTAATCTTCAGTCATTTGTTCACTCTAGAAATAAGGGTCAGGTTTAATCCAGAGCTGGTACATGGGGAAGGCTAAATGCTGTGAGAGAAGGGGTGAAGTTCTAATAGCACGCTTTCATCAGGTGTCAGGGAAACTGATTTCCCTGTTTATAAAAGAGAGGACAAGGATAAATGATTACAGCATTAACTGATTTGTAAGCTGTTTTTTTACTAAAGAAGCAAATCCTTTTGGTATCTAAGGTGTGACACAAAGTGTCATCTGCTCCGATCTTATTTTTGCTCATACTTGTGGAGCTTTTTTGAATTAGGTTTAACAAACTACAGCCCATAAAGCCCTGGAGATAGAGGTGAAGATTCCTGATGGAAAATATTCAGTAAATCTGATGATTTCTAAGTTATAGATTAATTAATGCCTTCAAGATTTGAAAGAATCTCTAAAATCCAAAATTTACTTTCTTCATGCAAGAATAGCAAAAGTTGTTTTGAGAAATACTTTTGTCATTATTATGTGAAATGGGATGCTAGCTGTTTTCTAACAGACTGTAGGAAAACAATGGTAATTAGAATGTTAAAAAGTCAGTTATTTTTTTTATTTTTTTTTTTTTAACTTTGGAGATGTTTTTTAATTTTGGATAAACTACTCCAATTTCGTACCTGCAAGGTTTGCTGCTTTACAGAAATACATAAATTATTTAATTGAATAAGACAAGATCACGTTTGTTTGAAGCGAGGGGAAAAAAAACAACAACGGTCTTAATCCGGGGCAATGAGAAACTTACCTGCAATTTCTTTTGCACACACATGCCATTGCTTCTGCAAGATTCCTATATGTTACTGTCATGAATTGCAAGATTGTTTTCAGTATCATCAGGGATCAATTTCCTGACATTTGGGTTTTCTTTTGGAAAATAGGAACTATTTTGAATGGTAAATCATAGAACCATGGAATGGTTCGGGTTGGAAGGGACCTTAAAGATCATCCAATTATAACCCCTGCCAGGGACAGGGACACCTCCCACTAGGCAAGGTTGCCCAAAGCCCCATCCAGCCTGGCCTTGAACACCTGGGAAGTGTTCATACACAAATAGGAAGTCTTTTCCTTATTCCTATTAATCACAGTGCAAAAAAAGTAACTAAGGTGACAGAACTACATGTAATGTTTGTAGAGAAAAAACAAGACTGACCTTGCCTGAGATGGTAAATGGGAATAAATGGATAGGATAAACTGAGTTTGCAAGGAGACACCCAGGCCAGGATGGTTAGGGCTAAGGCTGGAATCAGGACGTGGTCTCAAAATCTATGTGTGAGAACAGAAACCAGGGACAAACCAAAGGTCTAAGCTGGGCATGGAGCAGAATTGAACCATCAATCATCAATCTGCTGTAAAGTGATTACAGAAGACTGCTGTCATATGCAACAACCATAGCTGGTGTCACCACAGCCCAGCTAAAAGGACGCTCATCCAGAATGTGGTGGCAGGGCCCAGCTGGATGAAACTCAGAACCAGATGGGTCAGTCCTGGTTAGCTGAGTAGGAGAGAGTGGGTATGTGAATGAGGAGATAAGCTATGCTTGTTGGGATGTAGAAATTTCTGAAAAGGTGATGGTGTATTTAAGTATGCTTCTAGGTAAAAATAACAAATATATACTTCTGACTTTACTGTAGGTGTGTTTTGTTCAGTTTCAAGGACAGAATGAGAGCGGCAGACTATGAAGTGATTAGAGACATGGCTTCCCAGGAACCCTCGAATGGACCAATGTGCAGAAAAAACAGAAGCCCGATGGGGTCACTGGAGGATAAGAATGAACCGAGTGGTGAAAACGTTGAAAGGATTTGAAATTCACCTTCAGTGAGTAGATGTTCTTTTATTATTGCTGTTGTGTTATTATATAAAGCAAACACTCCCTGTGCTGATTTTAGATCAGCAGAAAGGCTTCCACGTTGCAGCTACCATTAGCCTGGCTAAAATTTCTGTGGAAAACAAGTGCTTAAGAACATATTTAATTTGATTGGTATTTAAATAACCACAATTTAATCTATGACTCAGGGATCTTAGACTGTAGGACAGATTACTTCTGTGAATATTTGATCTACATTTCTCAGTGAAATGAAGCTTTGTTCATGCAGCTATGAAGCATTATTAGGTTGTAATCACACACAGAGTGGTCTTCATTATAGAGCACTATTAATTACAAATGCTGTGCAATTTGCAGGCCATCTATTCTGACTAATTATGATGTCACTTGCACACCTGTGTCGAGAGTATTTGCCTCTCTAACTAGGACTTATTCTTTTGACTCAGCAAGGAGCTTCTTTTGATGGTGGAAATAGCTCATTTGTTGTCTCCATGGCTATAGAATAAGACAGAAGGGAGTGAAAACTTGAGAAACAGCCAGCAATTGAAGCAGGCGGTAAGCCCAAACTGACTGTGTGCCTATGCAACAGAGGGAGCATGTCTTGAATGTAATATGATTAAAAAAATAGGCTTAAAGCAGGCCTGTTTTCTGGTGTGCTTTTTGCACAGTGCAGTACATGTTAATTAGAGCTTTAGCGCAGCTTCTCAGCAAACATAATTTTCCCTCAAAGAGAGAGAAACAAGGAGAAGGAGAATTTTGATGCTGGAAATAAGGTACTATGAATAAGAATCAGCAACAATGGATTTAATTTAAGCTGGACTGGAAATTGTTGCAGCTTTATTTTATTTTATTTATTTATTTATTATAAAGGAAACCTATGTGTCAGCTTCTAGTAGTGACAGAGATGCTGAGAATTGACATGTGAGGATAATGTGATAATATAGAGACACCAGGGAGTGTGTGTACACAAAAATGCATCTCAGTCAGGCAGAAAGCCATGCTGTGATTTCAGCAGAAAGCTATGAGAGGAAATCAATAACTTTCAGAAGGCCCCACAGTAAAGCAATAACATTATCTGCCCTTTCTTCATTCTGCTTCTCCCTTCCCCCTTTCCTCTCTTCATAAAGGTACAGAGCTGCATGATCTCATATTTGAGTTTTGTTAACTCTGTGCCTCTGAGTACCTCAAGCAGTGAGGCAATTCAGGGAATACAAAGTGTCTCCAAACCAGACTGTAGGGATGGAGGGATAGGGACGTCACACAGGCTATTGGGTTTATCGACAGGCTCTGATTGCCTTGGAGGCAGTCTGTGTAGCCTGCAGTCTCCTGCACAGTGCCTCCATCACAACTGTGTTCTGGTCTTTAGAAAAACTCTTCTCAGTGTGTCTTAGTGCAGCCTTCACTCAGCTGTGCATTTTCTGATGTGGAGATCTACAGTGAGTCCATTTTACCATATAGGTTTCCATGCAGGGCAGGGTGATCTAGCTACATAGTCCCAGGTTATGGGCAGGCACTGACTTTTCAGAGCTTTACAGACATCTTCCAGATGTCTGTCCATATACTTGGATGCATAAGTGTTTTGGAATTGGGATCTCTTTTCTGTGTTGTTGTGTGGTAGTTTACCACCAGTAGGCAGCCGTACCACTCTTCTCGATTCCCCTCTTCAGAAAGACAGAGGGAGAAAATAATGGAGAAAAAACCTTCTGTAGTGACCTTGGTGTTTGTGGGGTTGCTTCTCTCACATGTTCTCACCCCTCTCTCCCAGCTGCTGTAGCACAGCAGATTTTCCCTTTTTTCAGTGTGCTCTCCCACAGGCCCAACCAGCATTGCTCACAGCCCAGCTCTGGCCAGCAGCAGGTCCCTTTGGAGCTGGCTGGAGCCTGCTCTGATTGGACATGGGGCAGCTGCTGGGCTTTGCTCACAGAGGCCACCCCGCAGCCCCCTTGCTATCAAATCCTTGCCACATAAACCCAGTACATGTTGTAGAAAGGTAATGTCAGCAATCCAGAGACATGAAGTAATAATTCACTTGATTTCATTTGCTAACTATTGGCACTGAGAAACTTATACTTTTCTAGCATAGAATTAGACTGACAATGCAGTTAGGAGAAAGCTTTTTTTTTTTTTTTTTTTCTCTGACACTTGTGATTGCTTTTCCTCTTACCTAAGAGCTCAGTTCTGTCTCTATGGAAAGTTAAGAAAAATGGCCATACACTTGGCTCATTACAAGGAGATGCTTCTCATTTGATATTTTTCCATGAAGTTTTTGTTTTGTCAGTATCTCAATATACCAGAGTAGGAAAGATTATTTAAAAAAAAAAAAACACAAAACAAAACAAACAAACAAACAAACAAAAACAGTAGAAAAACTCAGAGGAAGGAACATTTAGCAACATTCAGCATTTAGGAAAATTTTCTATAAACAAATACAATTTAATGACCATTTTTTCTAGGCTGTGAATTTAAAGTTCATTGGTTAGTTGGAAAACATGCTTATAAGGAAAAATCTATTAGAGTTTTGTCTTCAGCTGCAATTGAAGTGCATAATAAACATGAAGTACATAGAAGAAAGCATACTAGCAATCAAATCTTTGAATTTTCAGGGGTGCTGGGCTAGCTGTCACCTTAATTGCCTGCCAGTTGCAGTTACACCATACAGTGGGTCACTCTACCAGCTAGAGAATTACTTGAAGTACAGAAGTACCTTGATCATAGCAAAGGCAATTGACCTTTACATTACCTATAGAGAGCTGGGCCTGAGTGACTAGGAATTAGTAATCAACACCACTTTCTGGTTTGTTTGTAGTCCAAATGGACAGCTATTCCAGCCTCCCAAGTTCACTGAAGTGCTACCACATCCTAGGTGGAAGACTGGAGCCTTCCATACTCACAGATGGCTTCCTTTAACATCTAGACTTGTCATAACTTGCTGCTCTTGAGCTCCTGTAACATGAGGAAAATTACAAGTTGGGAATTATTGTAGTAGGTGACATTGCACCCTGAGGATAACACAGTCCTCTTGAAGATTTCTACTTTGTTCAGGCTTAAAGCAGCCTGCTGTTGATGCACACACTTGGGTTGTGTGATGTTGTTGGTCACAGACCTTAATTTGCTTAGAGCTTGATTGTAACAGGTACTTTGTATGTATATATATATATATGGTAAAAGATGGGCTGTGTTCTCAAAGTTTTGCAGGTTGTATGAAAGAAGATTAACAAAGGGGTAGGAGAAGAGTAGTAGGACTGGGAAGAAAAAGTTTTGCTGGATTTTATAAACAAAAGCAATTTCTGGTTACAAAATGGAAGGAAAACTTGTTCTGAATCTCTGAGATGAAAACTTCTTTTACTAATTCATATTGCAGATTGGGTCATTTAAAATTTTTTTTTTTTTTTTTTTTAGACAACTTAAAGACTTTTGATTTTTCTTCTTTTAACATACTTAAATAGTACATTCATTTATATTTCAAGGCAAGTAATTTCAAAGCAAGGAATGTAAAGCTTAACTCTGACACTGGTGGTTTAAAAAAACAAGCATTAGCAGTCAGTGGCAGTTCTGAAATACTTAATATATTTTTTGAAACGTATAAAAGTGGATTATGCCCTTGAGGAAAAATTGTTTTTGACAATTTGTTTTTTTTTTTGCCAGCTCACCAGAAATCTCTCAAGCAGATACTATCCAATTTAAAGGAAGAAAGTCTGAGACCCAGAAATCAGGGGCATCAGTGAAAACTTCCCAGAACATAGCTTACCAGCATTGGTAGGAATTGCAAAGTCCTGTACTAACCAGCTTGCCAAAATCCCAGATAAATCCACAGAGAACTTAAGAACATCATACTTCATTAGGTAGGCACAATACTTTGTTAATTCTTTTTTTTTTTTTTTTAAAAAAAAAAAGGTTTGTCTGTTCGTAAGCTGTAGGTTGGAACCAAAAGGTTGTTATTTATATAACTAGAGAAACCATGAAACCATCTGTGTGTTATAAGGTAATGTGCACTCTGTCTGAATACCAATGTTGTCTAAGATGCCAATGCCCTTTATTTGTAACAGTTACTTTAACAGAAGGATCAGCTGAAATTCACCCATCTGTATTTTTCGATGCTATATCATGAATATGGATGCAGAGCCACAACACTGCCATCCTTGCTGATTTTTGATGTTGGAAAACAAAAGTCAAGATGTGCACAGGTGTTTCCAACATCTTTTCTTGAAATACTGCCCAGTTTGACTTAACAGCAAGAACAGGCCTACGTTTCTGCCCTATCATTGCACCGAGTCAGTCACGTAGCAGTCAGAAAGAGTCATGCTTGCTATCACTTGTCTTATGACAGACAGGGAGGTTTCTTAAGAGGTGAAATCTTCAGTCCACTTATGCCAGGTTCATTGCTTGCCTAACTTAATTGCTGAGCTGCACTGTCTTTGCTAATTTGATGTTCTGTTTCTTAGAAGAGACATAGATTTCCTGTCAAAGTCAGTATTATATATGCAACAGAAGTCTCCTTTCTTCTGGACGATTCACAAATTCTTCTGTACAAAACAGTCTTTTCAAGGATGCTGTCATTTTATGTCATAACTGGCATGATTTGAATGAAATGTGGTTTAGAATGAAAAAAATAATAATAATTACTGGTTATCGCATGTGTTATCGCCTTGAGGATGCAGAAAATTCCAATCCAAAACGTGCAACCAACAGAAAATAGGTTTATGATATTTGCCAGTTTGCCTACAGAGTTTTGATTATACTTTGAATCACTCTCAGATCTCAGATGTACAAATGTGCTGTTAAACGTGGAGGGCTTTTAGCCATAGCAAAATGATAGACATCCTATAACTGAACTTATACTGAAATGTTCCACTTGACACAGAATTTGCATTATCATGGTGAAAAATGTTACTTAGAAATCTACAAGGCGAAGGCAAATCATTTAACTGTAGGCAATTTACCAAAGGTCATTTCAGCATCCTACTGCAGAAAATTTCAGCCACTTACTTACAAACTAGAGTAGACCTCTTAAAGCTTAAATACAGGGAGGTAGGGCAGACCTCTCTCCCTTGGAGTTCAGCGATGCAGTTTTTAATCTATGCTTTGCAGAAGTTGTTTTCCTTTCTTTTTAAATTGCAGTGTAATCTACTTGTAATGAGCTTTGTTTTAAGACAAGCAGTCAAAAATAATAAACAGAGTAGTTTACATTAGGAAAATGTTGTATAGTTAAAAAGACCTGTCAAGGGCTGGTATTTTCAAATAAATTTAATTTTTCAAACATTTTTTGACAATAACTATACCATGACTTTCTAATCACTTTCTGTGATTTCCTTTTTTGTTCTGAAATATTTGAGTTTGATTCATCATATTGTACCACAGAATGAACATTTGGATGGTAGATTTTCATATGCAGTATGTTTTTAATTATGAAGAGGAGGAATAAGATGAGTTAAGCACTTACAGAAGTTTATGCTGATTCTTCTGGCTAATGGAATTCTTATTCTCAGACATTTTTGAGATGTTGAAGTTGAAGACAAATTTTAAAATGCTAGAATTTCTTCCAAATTAAACCAGTATGAAAAAAAAGAGTTTTTATCACAGACCTTTGCTACAGCGTGAAAAGATTGGAAAGACTTCCTAGTTTAGTAGTATAGAGAGTATCTGTGTTAGTCAGATCCTTTTCCTGTACACACTGTGCTCAGCACAGCATGCAGTAGCAGAGGGCAGATTTACTCAAATCAGCCAAGACTGTTGGAGGCTGTAGCCCCATCGGTTTATATTTTCTAGCAGGCTGCATGGGATACAGTGGAGGAAATTATACCAAAGCCCAGCCCATCTTCCCTGACCTCATCACCATGACAGCTTCATCCAGTGTGAATAGAAAACCCCACTCGGATGAAGCACTTTTTTGTGGTTGCTCCTTTTGTCTAGGACTTTGAGATCCCCTGAGCCAATCTAAAGAAAAGTGGGAATATGAACAGCAAATCCAATTGTAATTCAGTGAAGCAAAAATTGCAAACGTTTCCTCTCTGTTCCACTGGAACTGTCTCTGAGAACTGTCTTGGGACTTACATATATATATTTATATTTATGTATATAAAAAATATTTTCTGTAGTAGTAGCATATTCTGTCTGTAATCAAGACAAGACGTTGTGCATATTACACTCTTTGCATACAAAATGAGAAATTCCTGTGTCCTTCCTAGTCTCATTGCTTATGTATTGCTTTTCTATATCATGGTTTCAGTCACTCCATCTTTGTGTTCTAGTCCCTATTTCCTTCCATATCTCCCTAAAAAAAGTTCATCTTATTTGTAAATGTACAAATTCAGAACTTAGGCTGAGGCTTTTATATGACAATATTGTGTTAAGAGGAGCTTCCTAAATAAATTTTGGTTGTTACTTATGCTGCCGTAGAACCATGTTTAAACATGTAAAACTGTTCACTGGTAGTATTACGTACTTGGGGGTAAGCTCTTTTGAAGTCTCAGGGAGTGCTTTTTGTTAAGGAGAAATGTGTGGGCAGATTCACCTAAGAACCCTCATCTGCTTCTGCTGTGCTGTGCTTTGATGGCTGGATTGCAGTAGTGTCTGATGTGAAAGGGCCCAAGCACCATTAAAAACATCCACCCACTACTGTGTGCTGAGGGACTGGCATGTATGAGAGTGTCACCCCTCAGAGTGTACACCACCCTCACCAAATCTCCCATATTTATCAAGGCTGTTCCCTCTGGCCAGATCACTTTTTTTTTTTTTTTTTTTTTTTCTCCTCCTTCTGAAACAAGAAGTGCTTTCCCAAGCAGTTCTGCCAGAAAATTGGGCTCTTTCCAGTTTGGTAACAGGTATCAGCAGGCAAGCATCTGAGCGATGAGAGCGCTAGATGGAATAAATACCCTCTCATGGTAGCTGAGGCTGAAGGAGGTTTGTTGCTGGTAAGCCTCCTGCACCATAAAGTGTGTACATCGGAGTAGAAGCCACCTGCATATTTACAAAACATCTGCAAATAAAATAATGACGTGAAACAAAAGCATGCCTGGATCAGAGTTTTCACTTATTTTGACTACTTCTGTGTAGATGATGACCAGGGCTAGTGAAACGTGAGTCAGTTGTGGTTGGAACTGAGGGTCAGAACCACAGATGTTTTGCAGTGATTTTGCAAAATGCTGTCTATGCTTTTGCACTGCAGGTGGCTTTGTTTATTGTTAGGCCCTGTGCTTCCATGTGCAATCAAACGAAATATTAAAATGAGTAGTTAATAAGTCATTTGAGTGTTGACTTACCAGAATCTTTTAACTTGCCGGTTTTAACAACCTGACATACTGATGTTCCTGGGTCTGGCACCTTGATGACAAGTAATCCTGGAAGACAAATGTGTGATTCCAGGGACCTTGGAGTACTTAACTTTCTGCTGGTGTGTTACAAATACAGAAATTGCCAGTACTAAATAGCTCTAATACGACATGTGGCAGAAGCGAGTTCACCCTCACACACACAACTCTAGCTCGTTGACATCAGGAGATCTGCATGAGTGTAGCTGCGGGGCAAGCTACGGACCTAGGCAAAATGTGAGTTTGTCCAGGTATAGGGGCTGCCTTCTCTGTCCAGGCTGGAGCACAGAGGATAGCTGTGCGAGCAGTGTGCAGGGGTGAGCGGCTTGTCCCTGCCCACCGCTGCTGGGGAAGCATGGCCCGGTTCTCTCCCGTGGAACCAATTCCTCCTCCCTTGCACACACCTGGCAAAGGCAGGGTCAGCTTTTACCCTGCCATGCAGGTGGAGAGGGAACCTATGAATGTCAGGGTAGGGAGAGGGAGTTTGGTGTCTGGAGGTGACCAAGGGAGGGAAGAGGGGTCTGGAGGAGAAGCTGGGCTGTGGGAAATCAAAAAGATTCCTTTGTTTTGCTTGCACCTATAAACCTTTTGGAGTATCCTCCTGAGAGAGTTTACAGAGTTCAGTCTGTTTTGCGTATCAGAGACAGTAGCAAGGTGTCTTTCATTATGTACAGTCTGGAGAGAAAACTTGTGAAAACTGAAGAGCTTTTATACCTAGAGAATAGATTTGTCTGGGCTACAGAATGAAGATATAAAGGCAACACATGTGGGACTCCTGGACTACCGGTCTAGCCAGGGTAGGCAGTGCTTATGATGAAAGACACGTTGGCATGAGCTGTGGCACATGCTAGCAGCTGGAACACAAGCCTTCTAGATACCTGCCCCTAGCAAAAATCTGAATGCAAGTAATGCCAGTGCCTTTTTCTTTATGGCATAGATGTATGAGGCAGTGCACCAAAAAGGTTGCCTCCAGTTTCTATCAATTTATCTAGAAAAAAAATACTGCTGGACCTCTGCCTGGATGTATCATAAGATAAAACAATCTGCTATCTGGAAGCTGGATGCCAAAGAAACTGAACATAAAGGATACATTTTAATTAACTTCTACAGTAATTTATTGAGGAAAGTGATTTGTTGATCACTACTTCCAGTCTTTAAATAAGAATTTGTTTTCTAAGAGAGGTTCTTTTAATTCAGATGCATTTTATTGCTTCCAGTATAGAAATTGCTGGGACAGCATTCCGTGCACTCTTATGCACACCCAATAAAGTGATTGCCGGAGTTAATCCTGCCCTTAAATTTATGAATATCTCTGTGTGTCCTGTATGCCTTTGAATTTCCTGCTTTTGCCTGGAATAAGAAGTGTTAACACCTCTTACTTGTGTATTTCTGCCCAAAATTAGAAGTTAAGGAATGGCACATGTAATGAGGTATTGTATTCCATTTTGTCTTTTTGCTCACTTTCTGTTGCAGCAAGGCATCTCCCAGTTAAGGTGAGGAGTTGAGCTCCTCAGATAAAACTAGAACCTCTTGATCCTTCTGCATCAGGAGTGAAAACTGTGGTAGGGCCAGTTTTTCTCTCTCTGACCTCTTTGATTCCCCAACCCT